TGTGCTCCTATCTGGATCACACACCACGACCCCAGGTCAACTGGAACTCCCTCTCGGAGACTATCCAGTGGAAGTTCATAACGCCTAAAGGCAAACCGTCTACTGGCCAGAGACACGGTACATCCTATGTACCAACACACATACTATATGCATGAACATGTTATCCTATATTACTTACATACACTTCCTACCATCACCCTCAACGGGCATGGTGGAGCACACAAGGGGATCAAACCCCAGTACCAAGAGGTTACCTGTATAATCCTCTCCACGTAGCTCTAATGCAATATATTTTCCGAGCTCGTTATACAACAGAAATGCCTACACAGAGGACATTCTCAATTAATTATCATTCATACAAACACATGCAAGTTATTAACTCTACAAGCATGGTTCCATAATACTCACCACAATCCCACTTGGTCCAGGACCAAGGGCAACCCACTGAGCTCACGATTCGGGGTTCAAATCCACGTACGGCAACCTACAACAACCATATACGGATCGTCAGAACACGGTAAACCATCAAATTCACAAAACGACAAATTCTCCTCCCCCCACCTAGTGAGGTTCGGCCAAATGAGTGTTATTTTACAAAATATTTTTCTTTATTTTCTTTCTAATTTTCTTAAGCACTCTTAGGTTACCAAATTACCATTTTAGGTGCCAATTTGCATCCTACATCATTCAAACATCATTTTGCCAATTAATTTGCTCTAGGTTCAATTATACAATTCCACACTATCCAATATTTTTCCATTAATTTTCTAACCTTCCAACCATCACACAACCCTTCTAGTTACCATTTATCACACAACACATCATCCAAATAATTTTTACAACATCACATTCCTCTCTTTTCCTCTCTAGGCCGAAATCATCATAGGTGCACCCCAAGGGATTTTCAATCCAATTCAATTATTCCACACCTCATACAATCCCATTATAACATCATACAACCATCCAATTACACAATCCTAACAACAATCTCCAACACAAAGTCATGGCATCATCCAATTTTCCACTAAGTTAAACTCATTTTTCACCAATTAATTTTATTGCATTTATAGCTCCAACACATCATTCTAAGACATAATCATCTAATACAAAATTTTCATTTGAGCTCTCTAACTATACATATCATACAAATCACTTTAGGGTTCATAAATTCAAATCAACAATCCAACCAATAGAAAATGATGAAACTTACTCAATAGCTTGGCCTAAGGCTCCTCTAAGACATACTAAACCATTGGAGCTCCAAACAACTCCATGAACACAAATCTACAACACATGGCCGCGGGTTTGGGGGTGTTTTCTCAAAATGTAGTGGATTTAATGGCTTAATACTACTCCCAATGGGTTTGGAAGGTTGTTTCCAACAAATTTCAAGATAAAAATCACTTGATTCGGTTGAGATTTGATGAAGTTAGGGGAGATTGAGGTTTCAAGCAATTTTTGGCCATGGAGGGGGTGAGGCTCGGTTTTGAGAGAGAGAAACGGAGGGGAAGATGATCATGAATAGTGGCTTGCCATGTGTCTTAAGTGATTTAAGTGGGGTGGGTCCCACCGCCACCTCACGCGATTTCAAACTAATTCAAATTTTCCTCTGATTCCACTTAACGTCCATAAATCCATAACCTATTTAGAAACTCTAATTTTTAACATTAACCATTGTCCTTTAATTACTCTTGATCAGATGAATCCTGAGTTTTCCGGTCGTTCGGAGAAAATGCAGTTTTAAGCTGTTACACGCGTCGTAGGCACGCTTCCCCAAACTCACTAATTTCCGTCAAATTTCATCAGAAATCATATTTCCTAGTTCTATAAACCATTTATAACTTGTATCCAAAATCTAGAGCTCAAAACTCAAACGGCACATTTTACGGTACAACTGTACCGCGGTATTTTTATCCGATAAAAACACTATTTACTGAATTTTCTAAAACTTGTCTATCCACTCAATTTTTCATTCTGAATCCATTTCCAGTGTTATTTTTATCATCTGAGATCTTCTACTCAATTTTACCTTCCTAGGGTTGTGTGTTTGGCTAATGACCGTTTTACCCTTTCTTTGTATTTTAGCCTAATTTCCAGGATTTTCACTAAACCTTCCCTTTAATCCTCATTTAATATATTAATATATGATTTAGAAATACGAGGTGTTATATAGGAGAAAGAAGCCAAGTCGAATGAAAAAGTCAAGGCGAAAGAAGTCGAGCTTAGATAAAAAAAAACATCACGAAAGAAGCAAGACTCAAAATAAAAAAGTCATAGTATACAAAGTTGGGCTTAAAACCAAGAAGGCATACTCCTCATTCGAGAATCCAAGACTTCGGCATAAGAAGCCAAGTCATATCAAGAACCATAATATGTGAAGTCGGGCTCAAATGAAAAGAGGCAAAAAACATCTCCATAAACTAAATAGGACCCTGGCCAAGTTGGTCCTAGAAAATAGAAGGGGAAAAATCGCCTTCGTACACAAGACTTTGGCAAAGAAGCCAAGTCAAGATAGAAAGCCATGGAATACAGAGCTAGGCTAGAAAATAGAAAGGGAAAGATTTCCTTCGTACACAAGACTTTGGCAAAGAAGCCAAGTCAAGATAGAAAGTTACGGTATAAAAAATTGGGTTAGAAAATAGAAGGGGGAAAATCACCTTCGTACACAAGACTTTGGCAAAGAAGCCAAGTCAAGATAAAAAGTCACAGTATGCTAAGCCGGGCTAGATAATAGAAGTCGAAAAACCGCCTTCGTACACTTAAGACTAGAAAGTCAACTTAAAAAAGCCATGGTGAACTAAGTCGGGCTCAGATAAAAAAGCCACCGCAAAAGAAGCGGGGCTTAGATAAAATACTCATGACGAATATTGCTAGGCTCAAAGTCAAGAAGACGAACACCGCATTCACAAGCCTAAAATTATGGCAAAACAAATCAAGTCAAATACAAGAGCGACTACAAACAAAGAAAATCGCTTCCATAAAGAAGTTAAGTCAAGATAAAAAGTCACATCAAGAGAAGTCGGGGTTCAAAATTAAAGAAGCAAACCCCGCCTCGCCAAACTCAAGACTTCAGGCGAAGGAAGCCAACTCAAAATCAAAGTCATGACAATAAAATCTCGGAAAATTCTAGCGAGGAAGAATTCGACTCCGCAAACTTAAACAAAAGATGCATTCATAAAAGAGGAATTCAAACTACAAGAACAAAAAGAAAGGATTGGAAACAAACCTGGAAATATTTACTGCAAATTTAAAAGGGGCCTTTAGGAAAAAGTAATGTACAAAATAAGTTGGCATCCCGACACACAACTATTCGTCCAAAATCTTGGACACAGATCGATTTCAGAATTTAGATTAAGGGAAAAATGGCAGCACCCAGGACAGCCCAAACAGGGCGGCGTAGAAGCACGAACAAGACTGTCTATAGAAAGACTAGCTACTCTACATCCGGACCTCGGCCAAGACGATAGAGTTAAGCAGTAAGCAACTGGCACATGGGATTAAATCACGGCCACAAAATCATATATCACCACACCAATAAGAAGTCACCTGTCTGACACACTGAGCGGCCCGAAAACCCCAACCAGGCACCGGCACAACCAGGTAGAGTCTTCAAACAAAAAGGATCCGGGTATAATCGAAGCACAAAAACACTATAGCCCGACATCTCGGACTTTCAACCTGTCGAACTGGGGGGCAAGCTTAAGAACACAATCATCAAAATAGGACGAGGAATTGCAACAACTTTCATAATTTGAGATCTTGATAAGGCGGTTAAAAAGCAAGATCAATCAATCCAAGCTAGTACCTCAACCATAAAGGTGAAGGGAGGAGATGTCAGAATAGAAGTTGATGACTCGACAAAGACAATCGACAACCGAGTATACCAGTCAACTAGAGGAAGTAGGATCGGACATTTTGGAGCAGCATATTTAGTACCCGGCTCACGAAACCCAGCACCAAAATTCAAAGGTCGACATAAAAATATGGATCATGAAGTACAATAAGAAAGTCTCTCAGTGTGAACCAGAGAGTACCCAAAGTATAGAATCTGGAGCGCGTTTCAACAACATTACATGAATTCTAGCTAAAACATTGCAACTCGGAAAGGTCGAGATAAGACCCTGGCAAGAAGGTCAAGCCCATCCACTTCTAATAGGGACTTCAATCACAAAAGTTTGAAGGGAGGATGGCCGGCATGAGAAGCCAGCATAACAAAATTGAAAGACGAGTCTAGACTCACTTAGCAAGTCCCAAACCAAAGCACCCAACATGGACCAGGACATGACTGGATCCCAGCAGCAAAGCTCAGCAAGTTTGATCTTGAACACATTCAGAAACAATAACTGCAATTGCCGACCAAATTAAGTTGGCCAAGAAGGGTTTTCAACCCAGAGGAAAATTGTCGAAAATAGAAGACAAGTCCATCAACACGAAGACAATAGATATTACATCCTGGCAGGCCGAACATCAGAATACTGAATTGAGGGCAACTGTTATGGACCTGACGTAAAGGCTCACATTCTAGGAGGTCCAAGAAGGGCTAACAGCTAAGAGGAAAATTAAGGAAAAATTCCTTAATTATACTAATCCTTGTACGATAGTAATGGATCAAGAACTGGATCCCTAATATTCCTAAGAAGCTCTGAAGTCCACTCTTGCCAAGTATCTATAAATAAAGAGTTAGGCCAACCAGGTACACACATTCTGAACCTTCTCAGTTGTCATTGTACACACACCACTAAGAGATTATAATCTTATTTTTGTCACTTAAAATAATAAAATAAAAAGAGTTAAACCGCAAGAAAGACAGAATTAATTTTCAAAAATAAATAAAATAAATAAAATTTAATTAAAAACAAAAAAAAAATATTTTTTAAAAAATTTTATTTGTAATTTCTTAAAATAGATTTTAAAGACAGTTAGCTAAATATAATTTTACAAGTGCAAAGGGCAAAGAAAAGAAACGCATGCACAGCATACTAGCAAGTACCACCTACCACAGCACCCTAACCAGGAGTCATGGCGACCCCAACAACCTCCAAAAAGGCGTTGTTTATTGTGCTTCATTTTGAGTTAAGTTTCTTCGCCCCTCGGCGGAGTTTCCCACCAACACAACTTTCATATAAACAAACACTCCTCACTTCATATTATCATATCACAAACCCTTTTAAACTTCGCGTCATTACTCTATTCTTCTTAGTCCATTAAACACAACTCAAAACACTTATTAAAATAATTAATTAATGGCTTTGAGTTTGTCACCCCAACCCACCACCAAAACCGTTCTCCAAACACCGTCCTCCTCTGTTACTTTTCGCCGTCTATTAACGTCTCATTCCGTCCCTTTCCGTAACTGTCGGCGACGCCCCCTCGCCGTGCGCAACTCGGCGGCGGCGGCTCCTTCTGCGGCGACGACGGTGGTGTCGAGGGAGTGCGCGGTGAGGTCGGTGAAGGCGAGGCAGATCGTGGACAGCAGAGGGAATCCGACGGTGGAGGTGGATCTGGTCACCGACCAGCTTTTCCGATCCGCCGTGCCGAGCGGTGCGTCGACGGGGATTTACGAGGCTTTGGAGCTCAGAGATGGAGACAAGAGCGTCTATGGTGGGAAAGGCGTTCTCAACGCCGTTAGGAACATCAATGAAGTTTTGGCTCCCAAGCTCGTTGGTGTCGATGTTAGGTAAATGATGGTTCTATTGGATTCTGTTTTGAACAGTGTTTGTTGATGTTGATGACGATTTTAAGGAAATGCACTTTGAGTACGTCTTTGTTTGGATGGAAGAGTTTGGAACAGAATCATAAGATGTTTATAAAATTGAAAAATGGAAGATCCAAATGTTATATGATAATATCTTATTTTTATAAAATTCTTAATTAAGGAGAATATTCACTTAAAATAAAAAATTGTCCTTTTTATCTGTTTCCATCCAAACATTCCCTTAGCATCTATATGATATTGCAATCTAAAAATATAGGGCTAACGCAGGAAGCATAGAATGATCATATCATAGGTATCTCAATTGTTTTGGGAATTCAAAACTTATTACCTATTAGTACAATTTTTCCTTTACACCAGCATTTTACACTGATCTGTCAATCAAAGGATTCCAGTTGTTAAGCCTTCATAAAATAACAGGTATGTGTTATAGACTAGATCCCCATAATCAATGTCAGCAATGACAAACATGGAATTTGTGTGCTTTATTAATGATTAACAATGTATTACAAGTTGGAAACCAGTGCTCATGCTATAAAGAGACGCAGTAGAAACAGTGTCTTTCACAGAATCAAACTGATGTAATTATGACATAGGGCTAGTTTGGTTAAGCTTTTCTCAGCTAGGTTTATGTAGCCTGCTATACATTGTGAGTTGAACACTACTTTTTGAGTGTTATGCTTAGCAATTGATATCTTTTTTGCTTTAAATTAGTAATATTTTCATCATTTCTTCTTCTGACTTACTATTCATTTCGAAAGGAAAAAAAGAAAGAGAAACTGATTTTATATTTACATGAACTCTTGACAAAGTATGGTGTTCTGTTTTTGACGTTTGTGATATACAGCTGACATTTATGGCTTTGTGTTTAACAAGGAATCAAGCTGATGTGGATGCTATTATGCTGGAAATTGATGGAACTCCTAACAAGTCCAAACTAGGGGCTAATGCAATATTGGGAGTTTCACTGAGTGTGTGTAGAGCTGGTGCAGGAGCAAAGGGAGTGCCCTTGTACAAGCACATCCAGGAGATTTCAGGAACTAAGGAACTTGTTATGCCGGTTCCAGCTTTTAATGTTATAAATGGTGGTAGTCATGCTGGAAATAATCTGGCTATGCAAGAATTTATGATATTACCGGTTGGAGCAACTTCATTTGCTGAGGCACTCTGCATGGGCAGTGAAGGTTAGTAACATAATGCTTTATGACTGTAACCATCCTGAAGAAGTATGATTGTGAATTTATATGACTTGTTGCTACAACCATGCATCTTTTGTGTGCATTTTCTCATTTTGGTATGCCTTCCTTTCTGGTCAATGACTCAATCATTCTGGTAGAACAGTTTATCACGTATTAAAGGGCATAATCAAGGCAAAATATGGACAAGATGCTTGTAATGTTGGAGATGAAGGAGGATTTGCTCCCAATGTTCAGGATAACAGGGAAGGTCTAGTTTTACTCATTGATGCCATTGAGAAGGCTGGTTATACTGGCAAGGTAGGCAATACTTTCATTATTTTACATTTACTGAGTTTGAATATCGATTTGCACTATTCAGGAAATTAAAAACAATGGTGCAGATTAAAATAGGTATGGATGTTGCAGCTTCGGAGTTTTACACTAAGGACAGGAAGTATGATTTAAACTTCAAGAAACAGCCAAATGATGGAACTCATGTTCACTCTGCTGAGAGTCTTGGTCAACTTTATAAAGACTTTGTGAAAGAATTTCCAATTGTGTCAATTGAGGATCCGTTTGATCAAGATGATTGGGGTTCATGGGCTTCACTACTCTCTTCAGTTGATATACAACTTGTAGGAGATGATTTGTTAGTTACAAATCCAAAGAGAATAGCTGAAGCCATCCAGAAGAAGGCTTGCAATGGTCTGCTTCTAAAGGTTTGCATTCTTAAATAATTTTTCTTTCTCACGTTATGCAAGATTGCTAATATGTAATAGAATTTTTATTTCATTATTGTGTTTATATTTTTAGTTTAATTTGCCCCGAATTTCCTCTTTGCAGCTTGCTTTAAGGTAAGTTTTTTTCACTTTGCCATGTAATCAAAACTAATACAACACCAGCAGCATGTGGCAGAATTTGCTGGGGAGGCATTCCATTTAATGCTTCTTTTGTTTTATCGTTATCCACTGACTGCAGGTAAACCAGATTGGCACAGTGACTGAATCTATTCAGGCTGCACTTGACTCAAAGGCTGCAGGTTGGGGTGTCATGGTTAGTCACCGGAGTGGTGAGACTGAGGATAATTTCATTGCTGATCTCTCTGTTGGCTTGGCCAGTGGACAGGTTATATATCCTTAATCTTTTTTGTTTGGTGAATTTAATATTTTAAACTACTGTAAAAATTGTGCCATGATGTTATCACATTCATGTTGATTATCTAAGTTCTGTCCTTCAGATTAAGACTGGCGCTCCTTGCCGTAGCGAGCGATTGGCAAAGTATAATCAGGTAACTACAATCATGGGTTAAGTTCTTCCTCCTCTTCCATTCAAGGCTTTATAGCTCAGCCTGTGACGTGAATGTTTTACAGTAAATCAGAAATACTTGTACCTAGACTAAATACAAGTTTACATGTTGTGTTCATTCGAACGTCCCTATAAATTTTATCTTTGCCTCTGACCTATTTTAACTTGTCTTTTTAATTTTTTATCTATTTATTTATTTTTAGGTTTTGGGGGGGTGCTCAGTATTATAACAAACTGATAGAAGTCAACATCAAGATCACCTTAATCCCAAACTAGTTGGGACGGTGGCAACTAATTCATAGAAGTAAAAACAAGAAATTGAGTATACTTATGCAGGGTTAGAATATATGGCTTATAGTCAAAATTTTCAATTTAGTACCTGGTAGCAACCTATAAATTTTGTTTTTTGGATAAAACATCGTAATCCTTGAAAAGTAGTTGTTTTTTGGGTGCCTAAAATTCAATTACTGAATACTATGTGAATGGTTAGCATGATAATGGTGTGATTTATCTAATACACATTTTTTTTTCACAAATTGTTAAATTTCTTTTCAGCTTCTTCGGATTGAAGAGGAACTTGGAACTGTGCGATACGCTGGTCAAGCTTTCAGATCACCTTAGTGTGATCTCTAAAACTTATTCCGGAAATATTTCTGCATCAGAATTTGATTTGATTAAGAAAACAAATGGGACCAAGGAAATTCCTGAGTTTTGATATAACTGCTAGCCTTATATGGGGTTTTCAAAAGATCTACTTGATGAATTAGCCTTATAGTGTGTGTTTTGAACTGAAATAATTACTTAGTGAGTAATTAACTGATGCCTGAAGCCACTATTATAATGTGAGGCAGTACTTTGTTGTAAATTAAATGCAGCGACAAAGCTGCGTAGTTGTATTCAAAAATTATCTACTTGATGAGTTAGCCCTTCTGCTTACCGGAATAAGAATTTGTAATGGACAGAGCTTAAGACATTGTTATTTTTAGTTCAATGTTTGTACTTCTCTACTTTTTTAGTGAACACCTTTCTCGTGTGTTACCCTAAATAAGAAACTATACATATATACTTTTTAAATTTAGTACTTGAAATATATTTTTTTTTTGTAGTTTATATTTATATTTTATATTTTATAGTTATCCTTATTATTGAGTATCAATTCATATATTTTTCAGTAATTTAATTATTAGTTCTTCCGATTTTTATTCACCAAAAGTAGTAGGTCACTATATTTTATTAAAGATTAGTTTTTACAATTTAATTTATAAATGTACAAATTTTTTATAAAACTATGAAAGTATAACTTATATTGAAGAACATAAAAGTTACAAGGATAAAAAATTTATAAGAGGACCCAGCTATGAGGACCTAAATTTATCTTGAATCAAACATGTTAAAATAACGCCTACTGTACATAGACACTATCGAGAGAAAAATGAAAAGACCTTGGCTGGGTTAAAAACTGGAACCAGGAAATGGATACTTTGACAACCTTTAACATGCTGAGTAATTACCACAACGATGCAAAAGGTGGCCAGTAGACAAATGATGTGAAACTAAAAGCAATGATAATGTTGGACTCGTGCCTCGTTAGATAGGAATCCGAAGATGAAAAGAAGCAAAAGTAGTAGACAAATAGTGGGTTGGGGGGGGGGGGGGGGGGGTGCTCTAGGCCTGACGATATTTGGACAAATTTCTTTTTTCTCTCATTTCTCCTCTCTCCCATCTTAGTAATTATCTAATTTTGATTAATTCAGATCACCGAAATTCTTCTCCTAGTAAAGGGATGGGAATGACAGATGCCATCCTTTTCGTAGATAATAAAATATTGTCATATTCACCAAGAAAAGAAAAAGCATTACCATTTCTTTGATACGACAATCAGTTGTATATACTACATTTATGAGGAACATTATAAGATAATTATGTTTATAATAATGTACAAGAAAATAACATCTTGTAGACCTCATAATGCTGATTGAGAGCAATGTTGTAAAACCTAGATTAGATCGGCTGGGTCAAACCAGGTTTTGGTAACTCAATGTCCTCCTCGGTTCGAGCTGGCCATAAAATTGATTATATACTCGAACAGATATTAAACCAGTGAATCAGACCAAAATTGGGTTCAACCGGGGTTGAAGTGCTACCAGTTTTTTAGTCAAAATAGTTATGTTAAATTGTGTAAAATACATACATTTTGCAAGCAATGAGATTCAAATCTGAGTCCCCATGTTTAAGAATCAAAAGGCTTACCACATAACCACTTTTATTTATTGGACATAATGTTTATAATTTAATATTTATTATATATTATTTTATAAATTTAATTTATACAGTTGAACCAGTGACCTACCGGTTGAACCACTGACTCAGTAATCCAGTATCTCGACCGAGTCGATGACCCCACCAAGTTTTAAAACACTCGGTGAGAGAATATAAAATGAAGCACAATGACTACTCTAGTAACTAATATTTATCATCAAAAGGTAATGGGATAATGCAGATTTTATGTACTCAAAACTTTGCCCAAAGTATGTATCCAGCGAAAGGAGGCATAAACCAAGCAGAACATTCCATGCAGCAGCATTTTGGATACTCTTGTCACTAGCCTCCAGGTGCAAAATGGGGAGACAATGTTTTCAGGCATTAATATCATCTACCCTTCACAACAGCAAACATGCCAATTGCTTTTAAATGAAAGCAACAGAGCTAAAGCCGAATAGGTGGGCCAGCATATACCCCTTGGCGCATATAAAGATCACTAGGTGTTTCTATCTCCGCAAGCCAGGCATATCCCTCCTCTTCCCCATCACATATAGGTCCATCTCCTGCTGCTGCAGAGCCACAGCATCAAGAAAATCACTCACATGCAAATCTCATATTCGATTCACCTCCTCCATAAAAGAATGTATACTTTCTATAATAAAAGGATTCTAACTTCTTAGGCAGCATCAGCATACTTTTAAAATTTAAAAATTGTAATTCAACTTATCAATATTCAATCACACTTATTTTTTATTTTTTGGAGCAGCGAAAAGCTTGCTCCTTGTGACTAGAAAACCATAGGTTTGAGGTTGGGAAACAACATCTGTACATAAAATATAAGAGTAAAGCTACGTATAATTGACATAAAATATTCTGATTCAAGGACAGTTAGCACTATTACTGCTATATGATGCATAGGAAACAAGCGATATGTCTAAGCAGTAACTTACAGAATGTTGAATAAGGATAATCGTGATAGTAAGTACACTTCCTTCCTTCATATTCTTTGTAAGGTGGAGAGAGAATGTCCAGCACAGCACAAGGTGTTACTGCTGTGAAACAGTGCAGATTTCCACCATGCTTTGGATATAAAACTGATGTCTCACATGGTGCATTCAAAACCTTATCAACTGCTAACTTTGCTAGTCTTACTGCAACACAGAAAATTTAAAACGAAAACTAATAAATTCAACTAACAAGTAGCATAAAAATATGGATGCAGAAGAGCAGGAAGTAGCTTCACATTGTCTAATTTGTTCTAGTCTTCTTTCACGACATTCTGGTTTATAGTAGCAGTGTAGACCAGCATTGTGAACATTTGAGGGTAGTATTGGACATTTTGAAGCTGTAGAATATTCTAGAGTTTTCTACTTGTTTCTAGCTACTTGTTCCTTTGAGTAGTGTGATGCCTCTTCGGTTACTGTGTATTTTATTTATTACTTCAACTCCTTAACTACCTTGTAATCTGTATATAAAGATCCCTTTGGGTGTCAATCAATATATGAAAAATACATTTCAGTCTTATATTTCATCATGGTATCAAGAGCAGGTTATCCTGTGGTCATCTTGTAAACCTTCACGTTTCCTTCCGTTTTCCATTTTTCACTGTTTATTAAAATAACTCAGAAACCATATCTGGACCCCTCCAATCACGAAACCAAGGCCACCATTGGACTCAGAAGCCATTTCCGAGTCGACCCACGTCAGCCCCGTCGCCGGAAAGTCATCCACGCGCCGCCACTGCAGAACTGCCTCTTCGGCGCGTGTGAGCCACGCGCCGCCCTGCCGGCCTCCGTTTGTCACGCGGCTTTCACAGAACGGCTCGCATGGCCTTCCTCTTCCTGTTCTGGGGGTTTAAATCACGATTGGAGCACTCTTCTTGTTGGGTCCAGTTGGTTCCTCTTCGTGATTTTTCAGTTCTGAACGATTGGTGTTCCTTTTTTGTTTTTTTTGTTTTTTTTTATTTTGAACAATGGAAGTTGAAAATATTGAGGCTGAGAATAAGCATTCTGAAAAATCATTCGGTAATGTTTCCGATGTCTTTCCTCTTCCCTGTTCTTCGTCTTCCGGAGACAACCCAGCTATACAGATTACTAACCACCTTTTAAACGGTAAGAATTATGAGCAATTTCAGAAGGTGATGTCTCAATCTGCTAAGGCAACTAGTCATGTTGCTCAACAAGGTATGGCATTCCATGTTGATCATAGTAGTCGTTGGATTCTTGATTCGGGAGCTTCTGATCATATGACAGGTAATGCATCCCTGTTTTGTTCATACCCCTTATTATCACCAGTCACGAATAAGGACGGCTGATGGTAGTTTCTCTAATATTGCGGGAAAGGGATCCATTAAGCTCTCTGAACATATTACTCTGAATTCTGTTCTTCATGTCCCTTCTCTTACTTGTAACCTTATCTCTATTAGTAAACTTTCCTCTGAATTGCATTGTGTTGCTAAATTCTCTGCCAAAACCTGTGTTTTTCAAGAACAGGATTCGGGGCTGATGATTGGCAGTGCTAGAGAGGAAGAAGGGCTTTACTATTTTGAAGAAGATTCTCATGAAAAGAGATTTTTTGCAAATCACTCTTTATGTTTATCAGACGATTGTAATGATGTTTTGTTGTGGCATCGTCGTTTAGGACACCCAAATTTCTTTTATCTTCAAAAGCTGCTTCCAAACTTATTTATCAACAAAAAACCAAGTTCCTTTTTTTGTGATGATTGTCAGTTTGCAAAACACTCTCGTGTTTCTTATTTCCCTAGAGATTATCATGTTTCGTCTCCATTTACATTGATTCATAGTGATATTTGGGGCCCAGCTCGTGAAAAAAATATATCTGGAACTCGTTGGTTTATTACCTTTATTGATGATCATTCTAGAGTATGCTGGGTATATCTTCTAAAAGATAAGTCTGAAGCTGCAGCCACTTTTAAAAATTTTCATGCTATGGTACAAACTCAATTCCAGACCTCTATCCAAATCCTGCGAACTGACAACGGTACTGAATATTTTAATTCTGTTCTTGGTGATTACCTAACCAAGCAAGGTATTATCCATCAAAGTTCTTGTCCTAACACCCCTCAACAAAATGGGGTGGCTGAAAGGAAAAATAGACATCTCATTGAAGTTGCTAGAGCCCTCTTGTCTACAATGCATGTCCCTAAATACCTGTGGGGGGAGGCTGTCTTGACTGCCTCATATCTCATCAATCGGATGCCCTCTCGCGTCCTGAATTTTCATTCTCCCATATCTTGCCTTACCCGCTCTTTTCCCTCCTTTCGGGCTCTCTCTTCCCTTCCTCCAAAGTTGTTTGGCTGCGTGGTTTTTGTTCATATTCCTCCACATCAAAGGTCCAAACTTGATCATAAGTCTGTTAAATGTGTCTTCATAGGATATCCTCCTAATCAAAAAGGTTACAAGTGCTACTCACCTTCTCTTCGAAAGGTCTTTGTTTCTATGGATGTTACTTTTTGTGAAACACAATCATTTTTTCCCTCGACTTCTCTTCAGGGGGAGTCTATTGGTATAAATGAAGACAAGTCTTGGAATCCAAATAATTCTACTGTCTTACCTTTACCCTTGGAAACATCTGTTGTTTCTTTACCTTTGGAGTCAGGGGGAGTTAATGTACAGGAGACAAGGACAGCAATTGTACCAGAGACTGGAGATCCTCCCGGTAAATGGGGAAAATTCTACAGCAGGCGAAAATCTCCTCAAGATCCTCTAGACTGCCAGGATTCTGACCCGAGTCCTAGTTCCAGCAATCCACTTGAGAACACTGGTACAGCTGACCTAGATGTGCCCATTGCCCTTCGAAAAGGTACTAGATCTTGCACTGCTCATCCTATTTCTCATCACATTTCATATGAAAAGTTATCTCCAGGTTTTCGTGCTTTCAACACTATATTAGACGGTACAAAAATACCAAAAAATATCCAAGAGGCACTTAATGACCCTAAATGGAGGGATGCAGTCTTTGAAGAAATGGATGCTCTTAAAAAAAATGGAACTTGGGAGTCCGTGGCACTTCCCAGAGGAAAGAAAACTGTAGGTTGCAAATGGGTGTTCACAATAAAATTTAATGCAGATAACAGCATCAACAAATATAAGGCCAGATTGGTTGCCAAAGGATTTACTCAGACTTATGGGATAGACTATCAGGAGACGTTCGCTCCCGTTGCCAAACTTAACTCTATCCGAGTCTTACTATCACTTGCTGCCAACCTTGATAGGCCCTTGCATCAATTGGACGTAAAGAACGTTTTCTTAAATGGGGACTTACATGAGGAAGTTTACATGGACCCACCACCTGGTTTTGAACAGGGAGATGGTTCTGTATGCATGTTGAAGAAATCTCTTTATGGACTTAAACAATCCCCTAGAGAGTGGTTTGAAAAGTTTACTCGTGTTGTTAAAGAAAGAGGATTTATCCAAGCTCAGACTGATCACACTTTATTTTTTAAACACTCCGATAGTGGCAAAATTGCTATCCTCATTGTTTATGTTGACGACATAATTGTCACAGGTGATGACTGGGAAGAAATAAAATCTTTAAAAGGGGGTTTAGCTAGTCAGTTTGAACTAAAGGATCTTGGATCTCTCAAATATTTCCTTGGAATGGAAGTTGCTCGTAGCAAGGCGGGAATTTCCTTATCTCAGAAGAAATATATTCTAGACCTGCTACAAGAAACAGGTATGCTTGGGTGCAAGCCTGCAGAAACTCCAGTTGAACCCAATATTAAATTGGGAATTGAAGATGGAAAAGATGTTGACAGGGAGCAATACCAAAGGTTGGTAGGGAAGCTGATCTACTTATCTCACACTCGGCCTGATATTGCATTTGCGGTTAGCATGGTTAGCCAATTCATGCATTCTCCTAAGGAAAAACACCTTAGTGCTGTTTATAGAATCCTCAAGTACCTCAAAAACACCCCTGGTCGAGGAATGCTCTTTAAAAGGGGACACAAGAGGATGATAGAAATCTATACAGATGCTGATTGGGCTGGCTCTGCTATGGACCGAAGATCCACTTCAGGATATTGTACCTATGTCTGGGGAAATCTTGTGACCTGGAGAAGTAAGAAACAAACTGTTGTTGCCAGAAGCAGTGCAGAAGCAGAATTTCGGGCGCTAGCCCATGGCATTTGTGAAGGAATCTGGTTAAGAAGGCTCCTTGGAGAATTAAAGATATCTTATTCTCTACCTGTGAGACTCTATTGTGATAATAAGGCTGCAGTCAGTATTGCTCAAAATCCTGTACATCATGACAGAACAAAACATGTGGAGGTTGATCGTCATTTTATCAAAGAAAAATTGGAGGAGGGTAGTGTATGTTTGTCATATATACCTACCAAGGAGCAAACAGCTGACATTCTCACCAAAGGATTACACAAACCCATCTTTGAGGATTTAATTAGCAAGTTGGGGATGATCAATATATATCTCCCAACTTGAGAGGGAGTGTAGAATATTCTAGAGTTTTCTACTTGTTTCTAGCTACTTGTTCCTTTGAGTAGTGTGATGCCTCTTCGGTTACTGTGTATTTTATTTATTACTTCAACTCCTTAACTACCTTGTAATCTGTATATAAAGATCCCTTTGGGTGTCAATCAATATATGAAAAATACATTTCAGTCTTATATTTCATCAGAGGCAAAATCACTTTTTTGCAAATTTAAAAAAAAATGCACATTTGCAAGACATGAACTTGAATACCTGGGTCATCTGATATCCCAGAACGGTATGAAGGCTGATCCGCATAAATTGGAAGTAGTGCAACAGTGGCCTACCCCTAAAAACGTGAAGAGTCTTAGGAGATTCTTGGGGTTGACAGGATATTATAGGCGCTTTGTGAAACAATTCGATCAGATGGCCAAACCATTAACACAGATGCTGAAAAAGGATCAGGTTTTATGGAGTGAGGAGGCCCGAGTATCTTTTGATGCCTTGAAGTTGGAAATGTTGAATATGCCAATCTTGGCACTCCCTAATTTTGATGACACATTTGTAGTGGAGACAGATGCATCAGATCCCTAATTTTGATGACACATTTGTAGTGGAGACAGATGCATCAGGTGTGGGAATGAGAGTAGTCCTGATGCAAGGAGGACGCCCAATTGCCCTCCTTCGTAAGGCCTTCTCTGAGAGAG